CCAGTTGAGATGCGCCACTTCATTTTAATTATAGTTGTATCTAATGTTTCAGCTCCTGTTTAGACTCGCCACTTGCTTTTCAAAGGAATTGGTCTCTTATGTTTTTAGCTCAAAGTTAAGATGCATCCCCTTTTTTTATAATGAATGGGCCTTTTCATGTTTTATCTCCCGTTGAGGCTATGCAGATTTATCATCTAGACTAAATAGTTATCAATATAATGGTTGAAACACGGCACTACCTTAACGCGATATAGTTTCGATAGTCACGGTCACGTTGATGGACTTTAAACATGTCCGACCATATATGCAGGTTTTAGACGACCAAGGTGCCTGGACATGGGTTACACATTACAACTGTCCGTGGTCACGTGGGCTCCATTCTGAGAAAGCTATGACATGCTGGACTTTCCCTGTGAAGAATGTGATCAGTAGATATAGGGGTGTATTTTGCTGGTCAGAATGTTCCGAGTAGCGGGGAAAGTATAACCTTCCGCATTCATGGTGAAGTGTAAGAATGAGTTGCGGGTGCTGTCCACACCCAATGATACCCCAGTAACCGTAGAAAGGCAGTTGTAGTGTCAGCTGAGGTCGTCTCGAAGTCTGCTCTCGTTTGTTGATCATATATTGGTAGATATTGAATAGTTCTATAAGCTACAGTTATTATAGGCCAGATAAGCTATCGCGAATTGACTATCATTTAGCACAGTAGTCAGTGCAAATATTTCGATTTGTGGACCTGCCTTGTGCATACTGGTTCCAGGAATTAAGAGTGTAGATGTTTATGACGATCTGCGTATCAATACCAACGAATTAGTGCGAGAACAAAAGACTCTATATTCAGACACGAAGCCTACTATCATAATGAGTTGGTCTTTTAATGTTACGGCTCTAGTCAAAACGCGCCACTTCATTTAATTATGTTTATCTCCAGTTGAGACGCGCCACTTTGCTTAATGAGTTGTCTCTCATATTTCAGCTACAGGTGAGACGCGCCACTTCCTTTAATGAGTTGTCTCTCATGTTTCAGCTCGAGTTGAGACGCACCACTTCCTTTAATGCGTTGTCTCAAATGGTTCAGCTCCAGGTGAGACGCGCCACTTCCTTTAATGCGTTGTCTCAAATGTTTCAGCTCCAGGTGAGACGCGCCACTTCCTTTAATGCGTTGTCTCTAATGTTTCAGCTCCAGGTGAGACGCGCCACTTTCTTTAATGCGTTGTCTCAAATGTTTCAGCTCCAGGTGAGACGCGCCACTTCCTTTAATGCGTTGTCTCAAATGTTTCAGCTCCAGGTGAGACGCGCCACTTCCTTTAATGCGTTCTCTTAAATGTTTCAGCTCCAGGTGAGACGCGCCACTTCCTTTAATGCGTTCTCTTAAATGTTTCAGCTCCAGGTGAGACGCGCCACTTCCTTTATGAGTTGTCTCTAATGTTTAAGCTACAGGTGAGACGCGCCACTTCCTTTAATGAGTTGTCTCTCATGTTTCAGCTCGAGTTGAGACTCGCCACTTCCTTTTACTTAGTTGTCTCTCATGTTTCAGCTCGAGCAGAGACGCGCAAAAATCCCTTAATGAGTTGTCTCCAATGTTTTAGCTCCTGTTGAGACTCGCCACTTGTGCTTATAAGGAATTGGTCTCTAATGTTATAGCTCCAAGACGCATCCCTTATTTTTTTAATGAATGGGCCTTTTCATGTTTTATCTCCTGTTGAGACTATGCAGATTTATCATCTAGACAAAATAGTTATCAATATAATGGTTTAAACATGGCACTACCTTAACTCGATATAGTTTCGATAGTCACGGTCACGTTGATGGACTTTAAACATGTCCGACCATATATGCAGGTTTTAGACGACCAAGGTGCCTGGACATGGGTTACACATTACAACTGTCCGTGGTCACGTGGGCTCCATTCTGAGAAAGCTATGACATGCTGGACTTTCCCTGTGAAGAATGTGATCAGTAGATATAGGGGTGTATTTTGCTGGTCAGAATGTTCCGAGTAGCGGGGAAAGTATAACCTTCCGCATTCATGGTGAAGTGTAAGAATGAGTTGCGGGTGCTGTCCACACCCAATGATACCCCAGTAACCGTAGAAAGGCAGTTGTAGTGTCAGCTGAGGTCGTCTCGAAGTCTGCTCTCGTTTGTTCATCATATATTGGTAGATACTGAGTAGTTCTATAAGCTACCGTTATAAAAGGCCAGATAAGCTATCGCGAATTGACCATCATTTAGCACAGTAATCAGAGCAAATATTTCGATTTGTGGACCTGCCTTGTGCATCCTGGTTCCAGGAATTAAGGGTGTAGAGGTTTATGACGATATGCGTATTAATACCAACGAATTATTGCGAGGACGTAATTAAGACTCTATATTCAGACACGCAGCCTACTATTATATTGAGTTGGTCTTTTAATGTTACGGCTCTAGTCAAAACGCGCAACTTCATTTAATAATGTTTATCTCCAGGTGAGACGCGCCACTTCCTTTAATGAGTTGTCTCTCATGTTTCAGCTCCAGGTGAGACGCACCAGTTCCTTTAATGAGATGTCTCTAATGTTTCAGCTCGAATAAAGACGCACCACTTCCCTTAATGAGATGGCTATCATGTTTCAGCTCGAGTTGAGACGCGCCACTTCCTTTAATGAGTTGTCTCTCATGTTTCAGCTCCAGGTGAGACGCGCCACTTCCATTAATGAGTTGTCTCTCATGTTTCAGCTCGAGTTGAGACACACCACTTCCCTTAATGCGTTGTCTCTCATGTTTCAGCTCCAGGTGAGACGCACCACTTCCCTTAATGAGTTGTCTCTCATGTTTCAGCTCGAGTTGAGACGCACCAGTTCCTTCAATGAGTTGTCTCTCATGTTTCAGCTCGAGTTGAGACGCGCCACTTTCTCTGATGAATTGTCTCTCATGTTTCAGCTCCAGGTGAGACTAGCCACTTCCCTTTATGAGTTGTCTCTCATGTTTCAGCTCGAGTTGAGACGCACCACTTCCCTTAATGAGTTGTCTCTCATGTTTCAGCTCGAGTTGAGACGCGCCACTTCCCTTAATGAGTTGTCTCTAATATTTTAGCTCCTGTTGAGACTCGCCACTTGCGCTTATAAGAGAATTGGTCTCTAATGTTTTTGCTTTAAGACGCATCTCTTGTTTGTTTTTTAATGAATGGGTCTTTTCATGTTTTATCTCCTGTTGAGACTATGCAGATTTATCATCTAGACAAAATAGTTATCAATATTATGGTTTAAACATGGCACTACCTTAACTCGATATAGTTTCGATAGTCACGGTCACGTTGATGGACTTTAAACATGTCCGACCATATATGCAGGTTTTAGACGACCAAGGTGCCTGGACATGGGTTACATATTACAACTGTCCGTGGTCACGTGGGCTCCATTCTGAGAAAGCTATGACATGCTGGACTTTCCCTGTGAAGAATGTGATCAGTAGATATAGGGGTGTATTTTGCTGGTCAGAATGTTCCGAGTAGCGGGGAAAGTATAACCTTTCGCATTCATGGTGAAGTGTAAGAATGAGTTGCGGGTGCTGTCCACACCCAATGATACCCCAGTTACCGTAGAAAGGCAGTTGTAGTGTCAGCTGAGGTCGTCTCGAAGTCTGCTCTCGTTTGTTCATCATATATTGGTAGATACTGAGTAGTTCTATAAGCTACAGTTATAAAAGGCCAGATAAGCTATCGCGAATTGACTATCAATTTAGCACAGTAATCAGTGCAAATATTTCGATTTGTGGACCTGCCTTGTGCATACTGGTTCCAGGAATTAAGGGTGTAGAGGTTTATGACGATCTGCGTATCAATACCAGAGAATTATTACGAGAACAAAATTAAGACTCTATATTCAGACACGAAGCCTACTATCATAATGAGTTGGTCTTTTAATGTTACGGCTCTAGTCAAAACGCGCCACTAAATATAATAATGTTTATCTCCAGTTGAGACGCGCCACTTTGCTTAATGAGTTGTCTCAAATGTTTCAGCTCGAGGTGAGACGCACCAGTTTCTTTAATGAGATGTCTCTCATGTTTCAGCTCAAGGTGAGACGCACCACTTCCTTTAATGCGTTGTCTCTAATGTTTCAGCTCCAGGTGAGACGCGCCACTTCCTTTCATGCGTTGTCTCTCATGTTTCAGCTCCAGGTGAGACGAGCCACTTCCTTTAATGAGATGTCTCTCATGTTTCATCTCCAGGTGAGACGCGCCACTTCCTTTTACTTAGTTGTCTTGAATGTTTCAGGTCGAGTTGAGACGCGCCACTTCCTTTAATGCGTTGTCTTTTATGTTTCAGCTCCAGGTAAGACGCGCCACTTCCTGTTATTGAAATAAGTTCGTATCTAAAGTTGTAGCTCAATTTGAGACTCCCGTCTCCTGGTATAATGATTTGGTCTCTAACGTTGTTTAGCTCCAGTTAAAACACGCCATCTTCTGTTATAAAGACTTGGTGTCTGATGTGTAGCTCTAGTTGACACGCGCCATTTCCTTTAATGAGTTGTCTCTAATGTTTCAAGCCAAGTTGAGACACCCCACTTCATATTATTAAAATGAGTTGTCTCCAACATTGTTAGAGTGAGACTGGAACAATTGACATTTTTTTAAAAATAACGTACAAATTTATATTATTTTCTAATTTGAAAAAATAGAAGTGTGTCATTTTGTCATGCCACACCCTACCAGCAGATCTAGAATATAATATACTTCAAAGTAAATAGAGACACTGTTTATCACAGACATGCAGAGGATTTAATACCGAGTCAGATTTCAGATTCATTTTATTCTCTATAAACCACTAAACGTTTTCATACGTACGTGTGTCACATCAATAGTGTTTAGAATTCAGATTCATTTTACAAATATATTCTCGTGATTTCGTAGTACGCACTGTATTGCAGTAACTGTAAGCTTATAGTTTCGCTGTCAGTGGCGCTTCTTGTTAGCGGTACGTATATTTAGTCACCGGAGTTACTACACTTCAATGTGTACTACGTCATCGGAAGAGGGAAAATGTCAGCTCCCATCACCGTGCATGATATGTAACAACGAGTGCTCAACCTGCTTTTGTACCGTTTGACAGTAGGTGGGGCTGTGTTATTTAAGTACTTCAATCTCTGAATAAGTATACTGACGAAGTTTTGAACCTGTTAAAGAGTTTATAAATTTTACTGAAAATAACGCTAAATGGTAGTCGAGACCGGTTTGTTTACAATCACGTGTTAGCAGGTGCATGTCAGCGACTCAAGGCTGATTGGTCAAGTGAAATGTGAAGACGTCAGATTATGAGAACAATCGACAATGCCGTCATTCATTGTTACGTTGAACAAATGTATTGCGTCAAATGAACAATAGGTTGGCTTCAGTGAATTTTTTTCACTGCAGGTTATTGACGTTTCAAATACCGTATTCGACGTAATAAGCGCCCCGCTCCAATAAGCGCCCACGGCGATATTTGCTAATATATTGGCAAGTGAACAATCCCAATCAGAACCCCTTCCAACTGATCAATGTACAGAAGACTTATTTATTCGCGTATAATACACACTCGTGTGTTATATGCACTTTTCATTATGGGCAATTTAATTCTGGAAAAATATATCTGTCGTACATAAACATTTCAGGCTGTCAGCATAAACCACGAAATTTATCTTTCAACAATAATATTCTAATAACAGCCACCTATTCCTAATTTTGAGAGCGCCCTGGGCGCTTATTACGTTGAATACGGTACTTCTTCTTTCTAAAAATTTGTAATATATAGAATAGTGACTCCATAATTAAAATGAATTAAGTCGCTCACGAATAAATTTACCTAGTCCCTCGTGAAAGGCAGATAATCCATACTTCCTCAGTACTTGTTGGATAATATTATTCCATCAATTATCTTATTGACTAATTCAACCAATTAATTCTGTCAAAGGAAAATAAGAACTATTTTGATGTCACATACAGGAAACGGCTGTCATGACCGAAGCAACAGGAGAGAAAGGTGCTCAGTACCAACAGGTTGTCAGCAAGGGGCCGCTGCCATACCAATACATTAAAGTCAAACTGTAGGTGTAATCTCAGACAACCTTTAGAATTCCGCACCACAAACATGTCACAATACCCAATGATATAATTTGCAAAATGAATACACTCGTGACGTCAGCCAAGCAACTGGGGTCACCAAGTGTGAATAAGCTCCTGAGTACGGTCTATCATCACTACACACTATGTCATTTAAAAAAACTTAGTGTTGAGAGTTTTCAATATTTGTTTACTACTCCATGACTACTATCTGTAAGTGTCCTAGGTAAATGTGCTCTCAGTTTAACAGTGTGGAGACCCTTGAAGATCCGGGGTGGAATAGGTCTTCAGCAACCCATGCTTGCCATAAAAGGCGACTATGTTTGTCGTAAGAGGCGACTAAAGGGATCGGGTGGTCAGGCTCGCTGACTTGGTTGATGCATGTCATTCTATCATGATGTCAATCACTGGATCGTTTGGTCCAGGCTCAATTATTTTTCAGGCCGCCGCCATATGGCTAGAATATTGCTGAGTGCAGCGTTAAACAACAAACAAACAAATGACAGTAGCTTAATCAGGCTAACAATCTGTGAGTTGCAAGTTAACATCTATTTCTAGTCTTCATGACATAGTCCTCACAAGGAGTTATGGAATTGAGTTCTAAAGGTGAAGTAAAAATAGCCTAGAAAGATGAAAACAATATACAGTTCCCATGGTTCCAGAATTTGAATTTACTCAGATAATCATGCTGATAGTGAAAAGGAAAATATAGGGATGAGAGAATCAATCATGTTTATGGATTTATTTGTGCATCTTGTACAGTGTCAGTCCTTGATATAAAAACTTGCTAACTGTTCTCCACATGAATTTTATAAGCCCTGTTACAAAATAAATTTCAGAGAGAAACACGATTCATGAACCTGAGCATGGATTGTAGTACTGTGACATGACATCAGCACTGATTAAAAATGAAGACAGGTACGATCAATTATTTTAATTTTATCTGGGTTCAACTCCCCTAACTTTCATATCCTGAGCTGTACAAACCTATTGAGTATTAATCAAAAGGGGGCTCACAAAATAGATAAATGTTGATATGACAGGCATATATGTTTGTTTGTTGTTTAATGCTGAACTCAGCAATATTACAGCTATAATCATGATAATGTGGTCTGTAAATAATAGACTCTGGACCAGACAATCCAGTGATTGACATCATGAGCATCGATCCACGCAGTTGGGATACGATGACATGCATCAACCTAGTCAGCGAGTCTGACCACCCGATCCAGTTAGTTACCTCTTAGTTCTATATGTATCACACAGAGGACACAATGCAAATACAGCCAGGAACCTATGCTATGTCTATATGAGGTCTTGAACATGTTGAAAACAGTGGTTGATACATATGTTAAGGTACTAGTAGGAAACAAAATATCTCTGTGAGGTGCTTCTGTGTACACATATAACTATGACAACTTTGTTTGGTGGTGCATGTCAATGGGTGTGTTCAGTATGAAATTAAACCTCAGGAATTCTCAGATCTGATTACAATAATGAACTATTCCCAGTTGAATTGATTTTCTCATTGAAATATGACAGGATTGATGTAAGTAGGATGCATACTTGTGACCACATTTTATTTCTGGTGCTTTTATGTCATTTATATAGATAGAGGGGTTTTGACAGTTTGCAAAGACATTATTAAAATCATAAAGGCATATTTTGTATAAGATCTTTGGATTCCTGTTATTCAAAATACTTTCATAATCATTTTCTTTTAAAGTTTTGATCTCAAATTTTAGAGAATTTGAAGACGGACAGCCTCGAGATGTGGGAGAGTCACAATTTAAGGCTCTCATCAGTAGCATGGTCAGGGAAGTCTACGGAGAGGTAAAGATAGAGTTAATATTTCAGCCGCCATGGCATACTGGATATTTCCTGCATAACTACAACTCACTGAAATACAAAAATGTCTTTCATGTAGTTTTTGCAGTAAAATATCGTTTCAAACACATTACAAAATTCATTTTTAGAAAGTCTTATAAAAAAATCTAAAAACTATGAAATGTGAAGGAGCCAATCTCACTGTCACTCTTTTCAGTAAATAACCATGAAACGAATGGTAAAGTCTTATTTCTGAATATTAGATATGTTCGAAATATGTTTTATTTTTGGAGATTTTATTATTATTCTCACATGTATATGCTGATTAAGAGTTGGCTTCTTTGGCTTGATATCCCCGGAGAAAGGAGACATGGGATATATAATATGATGAGGCTAAACTGGAGAAATGTGACTCTGTTGAACCCACTTGAATAATTTGGGTTTTACACGGCGTTGAACACCACTTCAGCTGTAGCATGGTGTCTCAGCTTCAGGTGAAAAGAGGGGGGCACGGGTGGCCCAGTCATCTAAGGTGCCGCGATTCGCTGTGCAGGGTTGCGTCCCTTGGGCACGCCAGAAACCTGATTGTGGGATCAAATCCCAGTTCGCCCCGATTATGTTTCTAGGTTTGTCAGCACCATACCCATGCTCGTGGGTTTCACTGAAGTGGTAAACGTCTGAGACCTGCATCACTTCGGGCTTTCCTCCCACATTAAGCTGACACGCCGCGATATAACTGGAATACTGTTAAAAGCGGCGTTAAACCCAACTCACTCACTCAGATGAAAAGAAGTCCAAATTCACAGTTCTCACATGTTTGCTATGATAAAGCCACTGCCACAGATGTGTTAAATAGATAAAGGGTTGTATTTTGAGGAATATTGGATTGAACCAACTGCCAGCAGATCCTGACGTAGCTAAGGGATGCAACTCCACATAGTGGAGCGTTGTCCCCGGGGGCAGTTCATGTGTTTGTGTATATTTTACAGGTCGGCTGTAGCCTGACCTCAGATGTGTTGAAGTATTCACCCAAAGATTGTTCAGCAATTCTCAGAGTGACACACAGGTGAGTTACGAAAACAAATATCAGAAGAGAATATAAATAATATCAAAAGTTGACATTAAAAATATTTGTAAATAGCAACAATTTCCCCCTCAGTATACTTTTCAAAATGTCAAACTAACACAAACGTCATTAATCATTCCCTCCTGCTTAATATGTTCATATCTGTGTGCCTTTCCCTCTTGTTCTTTCTCGAAACTTGAGACTGCCGCCATGGTCTAGTGGTAGACCTTAAGGTCCGGGGTTCGATCCCTGAAGACATTAAAAGATGGTTGTTGTTACCCTGTCTGGTGCTCGGCATCGAGGGGCTAAAACAAGGACTGGTCGGCTCAGAGTCAGTATACTGTGTCTGAGTAGGGTATTCATGTTAAACTGCGGCATGGTATCTCAGTGGGCTAGCACTATAAATCGGCATCAGTCCAGACTAGTACAAGCAGCCACACACAAACGTGCTTGCATACACGTCGATATATAAGTGCAATAATCTTGGACACAATGTCAAACCCAATTTCACCTCACCTCTCCTTCTCGAAACTTGTTAGAATCATGGATACTGTGAAAATAAGAAAAGGTGGGCCATAGATAATAGAAACTCAACACACATGTTCAGTGATTGATGTTAAGCATGACTCGCATTGATATTGGTCAGCTTTTGCCATATGTCATATGCGGCTCTCCTTGTGTGCTCAGAGTTATTTCCCTTTGACTGTTCCAGCAATGCAGTAAAGGTGTGGAGTTCATTGACCCTGTGCAGTAGTTTTGAGGGAGAACCATGTGCTTTTAGAGTTCTGCAGGTGAGAACCTTATAAATTGATGTAATGAGAAATAGTTTTGAATAAATGACTTTTCATTCACAAGGAACAGATAATCTGTGATCCTGTGTCACAACTTATTCTATTTATTACTCATATTGTCAAAAGTTGTAACATGAATACTACCTGACCCTGTGTGTAACATTGTAAACCACAGCTGGGGTCATCTGGGGTCAGGGTGGCGCTCGGGGGTTTCCAATAGTGTTAGTCAACCCTAAAATACAGGTACCAATCCTGGATCTCCACTATGTGTGCTAACATGTATACATGTTGATATCAAGACCAACATTAGATGACAAGTACAGTTGTACCCTGTTGTCTTGAATTCCTGGGAACCAGTTTGACTTACCCGGAGTTCAACGCATCCAACGTATTACTGTTTTAAACTAGTCATCAGACAACAGAAAGCATCTCTACTAGATTGATCAGCCATGTTACTACCCATACTACTACTTTCTAGGGCTGGGCCGAGTCCAAATTTACTACCCGGGTACCCATTTCACATTGTTAATAATAGACTTTATGATGATTTTATGTTAAAGCAACACCAATACATGATCAGACTGACTACTAGGTCCGTGAAGATCCAGGTTAGAATAGGTCTTCAGCAACCCATGTTTTCCATAAAAGACAACTATCCTTGTCGTAAGAGGTGACTAACGGGATCGGTAGGTCAGGCTCGCTGACTTGGTGATGCATGTCATTGTATCCCAATGGCGTGGATCGATGCTCATGTCATGTCCAATCCAGGCTCGATTGTTTACAGACCGCTGGAATATTGCTGTGTGTGGCATTAAACAACAAACAAACAAATCAGACTGACTAGCTGACTTTATATTGAGTTTAATGTGGTGGTAGTACACTGATGAACCATTTCAACCTTCAGATGTTGTCAATCACTTAATACAGTAGTCGTTGTATAACATGAATTTGATGCCAGCGTGCAAGAGAATGACCATGTGCAGCATGCAGACAACTGAAGTCACGACATGTTAGACTAAACACCCTTTCATCACTTTGCCAAGTTGGCTCACTCGGAAAACAATGTGTTACAATACTGAACATGATATGTGAGGTTGCAGGGTGGATTCTTTTCACAGAATTTTCATGCAAAAAAACCTGTTGCTTTTTAACCTGACGAAAATCAACTTTAAATGCATATTTACAATATGTTTATAAGTCTTTGCTGATTAACACTACTGTCGTGGGAGGTTCTTCAAAGGCAGATTCAGGAAATCTGGGCAGTCTGTAGGACATTCTGACAGGATCAGATGGTCAAGCTTGCTGGCTTGGTTGATGCAGGTCATCGTAGCCCAATTGGGTAGATCACTTGCTCACTGGATCGTCTGGTCCAGACTCGATTATTTACAGACCGCCGTCATACAGCTGGAATATTGCTGAGTGCGGCGTTAAACAGCTAACAAACAGAAACAGGAAACAGAATGCATGTACTTATGGTAAGTGTGGTGTTTCAAGAGTTTACTCCCGCTATGCCCCCACATATTCCTCTTTTGTTACAAGCAAGGCGATCTTGTCAAGGATACATAAGAGATGGCCCCGAAGTGATATTTCAAAAAGAATTTAAGACAAACAAACATTTGTTAACATAAATTACTGTAGAATTTTTATTTCAAAACTCACTGATGATGAAACTGTTCATTATCACACAGTGATTTTGCTGGAGACATTGGGAAATGGGACATTTTCATGCTATTAGCAACTTTTGTTTGGACATTGTTCTATGTCATTACCAAATATGAAAAACAATCTTTTGGACATTTGGAAGACTTTCAGTAAGTGGCCTAGGAAGAGAACCAGTCTTACCCACAATCTAATATTAAGTCCTTGAAACCTTTCTTGTGTGACAGAGTTATGTCCCTTCCACCATGTATATGGACCGTAATTTCTGTCAATTTGGTTAACGGGGCAAGTGAAATATATTATGAAATAGGGCCGAATACATGACAGATATTTTAGATAAGTTGTTGACCAGTCTCTGTCCAAGATAAACCTGTTAAGAAACAATTAATAATCACTTGTTTGGGCTTGTGATAGACATGGTGGGAAGAATCACAGATGTTGATCGTTTGTAATTCATTTCAACTATACAGTGCCACATACAGATATTTTTCGTCCATAGGGTTAGAAATCGTATGTGCACTAGTGCAAATATCAGTTCACCCACACCATTGTATTGTTTGTGTCATCAAGGATTGCATTGATGAAGATCGTTGACGTCATTCGACAGGTGTGGTGGTTGTCTAAGACGGCGGTCATGATCAGTGCATTTTTCTAAAGAGTCCAAAGGATTTCGAAATAATGGATAATAAAGAAATTATTGCACTCACATGTGTGTCATACCGATTTTACGAAACTCGTCTAAGAATTCATGTATTATTCTCGTTCAGAAATGCAAAATCAGCAAGTATGAATGTTTTAAATGTAATTTATTGAAATGTTCATTTAGTCCCAAAAGAAGATATCAAATGAATTCTAACTCATCACTCAAAACTGCAACTGTATGTCACATTCCTGGTCCCAACATTGGAGAATTACTTATGTGATTAGGCGATTAATTTTTAAAAGTTGATTTATGGATTATTTTTTTTTTTTATGATCTCGGTGGTCAAGAAAAGAATTGACTTCAAATGAACATGTCAGTGGTCGAAATTAAGTTTTAACAAATTAAGTTTCTGAATTTCCTCAATTCATGCCGCTTGACTACATTCACAAAGCACATGAATGTTGCAATTTTCCCGACTTAATGACTGCTCAACCGATATGTCGTAACTCTTACCAGTCTACGTTGCTTCAAACTTTGCGATGAACACTTTGCTTTGAATTTTGTATTTCACAATGAATCCTCTCTTCAACACAAACTTATTTTAGAGATATTTCATGTTAGCTAAAAAATAAATTTTGTATACTACGAGAGTTGGCAGTATTAGAAATTATCAGAATAGTCAATTGAAATTTATTTTCATTTTGCTATATTTCATGTCGGCAGATCCATAAGCCATCATTGTGATGAAGAAGAGTAAACGTCCAATGATGGTAGTTAGAGTAGACGAGTAGATATTAAGGTTGCAATTCTGAACCAGTTCTCATTCCTTCAATTTTGCTCCAAATTGGCACTGAATAAAATTCACGGAAAATATAAACATAGTAAATGTTTTTGTCTTGTTCAAGCAGAACTAGCTACAAACTGTGAGAATAAGACAAATTTCTAAGGCTGTAAGTGTTAAAATCACTCAATGGAACAGGTTCTGAATGCATGTCAGACCCGTGAAGATCTGGGTTAGAATAGGTCTTTAGATACTCATGCTTGCTGTAAGACTATTACCTCCCATGGGCGGATACAGAGGGGGGGTGCGGGGGTGCGCACCCCCCTTTTTATTTCGAAAAAAATCTTTATTTCTGTATAAATTACCACCAAAGACAATAAATAGATCTTAATTGTGCACACCCCCTTTTCAAAAAAGCTGTATCCGCCCATGCCTCCCATACATAGAGATTATTAGCAGAGTGTGTATCTGTATCATAAATATCAGATTAGGAATAGAAAATTGTATTATGCAAGTTTTTGGTGAGCAGAATACATATTCTTTTCCTAATATCTAATTACACAAGGGTAATAATCTCTCTATCATGTAATGTCATTCTTAAAATAATCGGAAGTTTAAGATGTAATTTCACTCAGTGAAGTAAATTTTAGGTACTGTGAAGACAGTGTTTTTAGTGCTAAGTGATTTGCAGTCATGTTTGTCATACATAATCCCATAACCAGAAGGACCGCCTCTGTGGTCTAGTGGTAGAGCGTCCGCCTTGAGAGCGGAAGGTCAGGGGTTCGATCCCCAGCCGCATCATACCAAAAGACGTTAAAAGATGGTACTTGTTGTTACCCTGTCTGGTGCTCGGCATTAAGGGGCTAAAACAAGGACTGGTTGGCTCGGAGTCAGTATACTGTGTCTGAGTGGGGTATTCATGTTAAACTGCGGCATGGTATCTCAGTGGGCTAGCACTATAAATCGGCATCAGTCCGGACTAGTACAAGCAGCCACACACACACACAGACACACGTGCATGCATGTCGCTATATAAGTGCAATAATCTTGGAAGCGACGTTAAACCCAATTTCACCTCACCTCACCATAATCAGAAGACCCCAACCTAAACTTATTGAGAATGTATTTTATTGAGAAAGCAGACATTGAATCAATGTATGGAGATTAAAAGTAGTTCCTGCTAGATGACATTATTTGCATATTTATTGGATCATGATACCAAGCTTATAGCTTGGGTTTATCACATTGATGACACTATCCATTATAGGATAAATTAAATTATACCTATTACAGTAGCAGTGTGAAGTGAAGCTCTCAAGCTGACCTATATTATGGTACAGCTCAGATATGTTACAGGTGCAGTAGACCGCTTCCGTGATCTAGCGGTAGGGCGTCTGCCCAGAGAGTGGAAGATAATGGGTTCGATCCCTGGCCGCGTCATACCAAAAGACGTTAAGAGATGGTACTTGTTACCCTGTCTGGCGCTCGGCATTAAGGGGCTAAACAAGGACTGGTCGGCTTGGAGTCAGTACTCTGTGTCTGAGTGGGGTATTCATGTTAAACTGCGGCATGGTATCTCAGTGTGCTAGCACTATAAATCAGCATCAGTCCGGACTAGTACAAACAGCCACACACACACGCACATACACGTGCATGCACGTCGCTATATAAGTGCAATAATCTAGGACATTAAACACCATTTCACCTCCTCACCTAGAGGGGCAATAAACTAGTTATAACAAACTCAAAGGTACCACTAATTGTATTTCGTTATAACCATAGTTCATTATAAGCATTTTGACTGTCAGACATCTTGGATCAAGTCGCGAGACCTCATCATGTTACTCGATAAGTGTGCGCTGTAATTGTACACTGTTTTTTCATCTCATAAATGACATAAAACACATAACACAAGTA